GCGCCTGGCTGTCCTGCCTTGGGTGCGTGTGTCTGCGCGGGTCTCTGCGCTAACGAGGCCCCCTTGGGACCTTTTCCCTCTTTCTGGTGCCAGTCGGGTGCCTGGAGTTGTCTAAGGCCTCCCTAACAGAGGCTCTCTTCCCTTCTCCCCCCCCCCGAAAACCCCACCTCTGTAGACATTGGCACACAGGGTTGTGCTCTTCATTGTGTGAAAAGGAGTGTGTGCTTTTATGTGTGAAGAGGAGTGTGTCCTTAACTTCAGGGTGTGTGTGTATGGAGTTTTTTTGGGGGGGGGATCACCTATAGATTCATTGCCCAGCTCTCCTTTAGATCCAGCAAGCCGTGGGATCTTTTGCTGCTAGCCAGAAAACGTCCGTTCTTGATGGTCAGACGTTGGTTTGAGGAGCCCGGCTTTTGTCCCCTGTGATCCTCAGTTTGTCACAAGGTGTCTGTTCTGCATCTGGGACAGGGGAACCAAGTGTGGGGTCGCAGAAGAGTAAGGGTAGCAACTGTTTTGCTGTTGAGGGTGGGAAGTGTTTATGATTTATTTTTCCCCCTCGGGTGAGACTCTGCTTTTATTTTGCACATTAGGCTGTGGCTTTGCAGAAACATTTGGCTGATTGTCTGCTATGGATGATTTTATCTTCTCCCCACCAAGCCCTGCTTTGTTGTTATCGTTAATGTTCTGTCCAAATTATCAGGACCTGGTAGCCTGTTTGAGGTGTATGAGAGAAGGGATCCCCTACCCTCATTTCCACCCCACCCCTGTACGTTTCTGTGGCCAAGCAAAGATTTGAAACCACATCTCCTGAGTTCAGATCCAAATCTCTGCTCACTACACACCACACCATCTGCCTGTCCCTCTTTCTTCAGCTCAGTGTAACGTGAAAGGTCAGGATAACCCATCTAGTGTCTGTTAAGCTTTTAGATCATCTAATGAGGTTGGATGGTGCAGCGGTTGGGGTCTGGGCGTTTGGGGATTCTGTGCCTCCTGGGAGGAGAGCCAGCCTGGGGGGGGTGGCGGCTTTGGGCAAAAGCTGCCCAGCGAGGATCCCGGGGCTACCCCCAGAAGAAGGGAGAAATGGGGAAACCTGCTTCTGAGCAGCACTTTCTGCCTAGAAAACCCTGCAAAGCCAGAATTCCACTTGATGGCGTGCACTTATTATTATTAACGAGCCTGTGGAAGGCTCTTGAAGGTGGATGAGACCTATCCTTTTGTTCTTTGCTTGTGATGTCAGGCCAGGTGAAAGAAGCGGCATTTGGGCAAAATCGAAAGCTACGCCCAAACCCCGTCGCTCAGTGGTAGAGCTGAGGCTATGAAGGTTGTCGGTTTCATGCCTTGTGTAGGGCTGGGAGAGCCGGCGCCAACGGCAGGGTGCTCGAGGGACCAGAGGAAGGCAAATCGAAAGCTACGCCCAAACCCCGTCGCCCAGTGGTAGAGCTGAGCCGATGGTTGTAGGCTTCATGCCTTGGGAGAGCCAGCGCCAACGGCAGGGTACTCTAGGGACCAGAGGAAGGCAGTCCCTCCTCCTCCTCCTCCTCCCCCCCCTGCCCATAGAGCTTGCACAGGTGTGCTTGACCTCCAGCGTGCATCTGTGACTCGCTCGCTCTGTGTGTGTGTACACAAACCGAGCTAGGGAGCACCTCCCTTCCTCTCTCTGTGCCTGCTCAGTTCTGTGGGCCTCTGTGGCACTCGTAAGCCAAGGATCTCTTCTTGCTTCCCACACCCTTCGCATCAAAGGCGTCGGTCAGCGTTGTTGTTGTTGTTCATGCAGTTGTGTGGATCTTTGTTACAGCTCACTGTACCAACGCCACGAAGGGTGAAAGGGGAAGCTAACTCCAGGGCCGGCCCTGTCGTCGGGCGAAGCCAGGCAGCCGTTGTCTCGGGCGTCGGGTGCTGGGAGGCGGCAGCAAGAGGGGTTGGAGGAGAAAGCACTGGGCCTGGATCCCTTGGGGGACGGGGTGGGGGAAGATGGCATCCTCTTCTTGTTTGTTTGTTTGTTTATTTGCTGAAAGGGACAGACTAGCTAAGGCCACTCGCTTTCCACCTGGTGATGTGTGACCTCTTCTCTCCTAGCAGGGGTAGGATGTTTTTTCCAGCCCCAGACTGGCTTTGCCCAGGTTTCCTAGTATATTGGATCAAAGGTGCCTCTCTGTGGGCGTTTGAGGAAAGGGGAGGAACGGGTGGCTCCAGGATGCAGTTGTTCTGTGCCAGCCCATGTCCTGAGGAGTCCCCTCCTGGCCCGGAGAAACGAACCCTAAATTCTTGGGTTGCCTGCAGCCCGTGTGGCCTGGCAGTGGCAGTGTGTGCTCCCAACGGCTCTTCCCATCTGAGCTTAGGGTTAGGTTGCTAAGCAGTCTCTCCCTCTCTCCCCCTCTCGTTCTCTGCAAGCCTAAATGTGCATTAGCTGATCGACACCACTATCGGGAACACACCGCACACAGCAAGCCTCCCCGGGGTCCCCCCCCCCGGTTGTTTTCTTTTTATCTGAAATCACGTAGCTCATAACCCTCGCAGAACCAGGAGCCAGACCTGCTCTTAGCAACGCAGCAGAGCAGCGATCCCAAGCAGCCCCCACCATGCGAGCCGGATTCCCAGATGAAATGATGTGTGTGCCGAGCAAAGAAAAAGGGGGAAAAAAGCTGCTGGTGGTGCATCGATCAGGAGGATAGAATCCCTCCGTCGCTCCCTGTGCTCACGGGGTGAAGCCCGAAGGGAGCCGTCTGTATCTGGGTGCTTCAACGATCGCTACAGCCAGGGCTTGGGTAAACATGCAGAGCAAAACTCTGCCTTGTGCAGCCTTGTAGAGGAAGGGTGGAAACAATCTTGATTTTACTGACAGCTTATATGTGAGCAAGTGAGTGAAGAGCATTGAGATGGAAGAGATTTGGCAGGGAGAGAGAAAGCAAACCGAGATGTCAAGGGCTAAATTGATTGGGGAGCCAGAGTGACTCCCCAGTGAGGAAAGGTTACAGCGAGGCTTGCACTGTTTCAGGTTGGGAGGGGAGGGGAGGAGAAAAACTTGGAGAGAGTGTACACAAACTAGATTTTACACACACACACACACACAGACAGAGAGAGAGAGAGAGAGAGAGAGAGAGAGAGAGAGACTGTCGTTGGCAAGGGATGCTTTATTTGGGCTTTTGGGTGGGCGGAAAGGAGAGGAGAGGAGAGGAGGCTCCAGTGCAGCAGTTTGCTCTGAAGCCCTGGGGGTGTGGGCTAGCCAACGGGTAGCGACGGGCACAAGATTTTAAACCAAGCCTCTGTCTGGGGCCCTGGGGAGCTCTCCATGGTGCTGAAGCTCTTCCACACCATCTGGGCTCTGCTTGGAAGCCGGCAGGGATCCAGCGCCGTGTCAGGGCTGCAGAAAAAGGAAAGGTCCCGTACTGAGACGCACAATAGACCGGACACCCAAAGTGGGAGCTTTTTTTGTGTGGAAATCCAAAGCGCAAAAGCCTGTGCCTTCAGGCACCGGGCACCTGTCCCCAGAAGGGTGGCCTTGGCTGCCTGGCTCAGCCGAGCGGTTCACAGGGTGATCTGGGAGCCCTCAGCTCCCCCGTTTCAGGGCAACCCAGAACTGGTCGCCTGGTCTCCCAGGCCATCTTCTCCTGGACTGAGTTCCAGCACTTTCTCTTTCTGTCTTGCCTACCCGGCCAGGCTTTGGGTTCAGTTTAAGAATGCCTGGTCTCCCAGGCCATCTTCTCCTGGACCGAATTCCAGCACTTTCTATCTTGCCTACCTGGCCGGGCTTTGGGTTCAGTTTAAGAACAGCCGCGCTACCTCAGACTAAAAACGATCGGCTCCACTCTCGTGTTCATACAGTGGTTGACTAGTTAATGTAATATTTGTAACATTTAGGGTAAGTGCCCATAGATAATCTGGTTTATTGATTTGTCTAATCCTGTCTTTAAATCATCCGAAGGGATTGTTTTTAACAAGTCACTTCTTCGTTAAGGTGGCCCTTTCCAGGATTTTCTGGCTAGAAAGGACTCAGAAGTGGTTTGCCCTTCTTTTCTTCTGGAGGGGTGTTTTGGGACACTACGAGTAAATTTCACAGTTTCACTATGTGCTCACAGAAAAGGCATCATACTTTTTTTTTTAAATTAAGGGTTACCTAAACAGTGTGCTTTTACAAACCCTTCTTCCTTCTTCTTCTTTTCTTTATCATTATTGTGGTTTTTACTCAGAAGCAGAGCAAGAACCTTGTGGAAACGGAAAACTCAAACAAAAATTATATTTGGGATCAATGTCCTAAAACTTGAGGCTAGTCCCGGACTGAAATCATGTAGCTGATAACCTTCGCTGCCCTGGAGAGTTCAGTGGGCTTCGTATCTGGCTGCAGAGCCTGTCATGGAGAGAAGAGCCAGCCTGTGGGGCTTCGGGGAAGCTCTGCCATCCCAGGATAACCCCAGAAGAAGGGGGCATCTCTGCATGCCTGGACAGGGTTGCAATCCATTGGAATTGACTTGAGGATGCATCATTCCCCAAAGTAGCCAGATCAGATCCATTGAATCAATGGGGCATATCTATGCGATGACTTAACAAATCCTACTAATTCAGGCTAATGATTGGGATTTAGCCTTATACTTCCCAGAGTTACGAGAAGGAAACAATTATAAAGAACGTTCCATGTCAGCCTCTCCAATTTTCTGAAACCTTTAAAATATTCATGGCTCCCTTTTAAATTAATAATTCAGAAAAAACATATCCCTGCCTGATTAATCAAAGACATATTTTTTAGTCAGTCTGAAGAGTTTTCCTCCGACTGATAATTCAACTAAAGTCTGAAGCCCAGATTTCTTACAAACTGTAAATGTGCTTGTGGTTGAACAGAGAGAATGATGTATGATCCTGGGAGATTAATGGTATCTGAAAAGAGAGGAAGCTCATAAAATGTGTATCAGTCTGAGCAGTGGCTGACGTTGCTGGTGCCCCCCCTCCCCACCCCCTTTTCTGTGGACGAGCTTTTTTTTTTTCTTTAACCATTTCCTCCACTCCATTCGAATATATGATTCTGGCTACAATTATCGCTAATTGTATTGTTCTGGCCCTGGAGCAACATTTACCAGATGGAGACAAGACGCCCATGTCTGAGAGGCTGGTGAGTATCGCTAATTCGGCGGGGTTGCCTGGGGGAGGGTAGCGTATTTTCGGGCTATTTTTCTCCCCTTTAATCTTTTGGACTACAGATCCCACCATTCTCTATGCTAGGAGCATGGAGAAGCCCATGCTTCCGTTCCCCAGCCTCATTGCTAAGCTGGGAGCTTTCTCTCTGAATGAGATGCCGGCAGGATCTTGGCCTTACTTTCCGGTTGAGGCTTTTCTCCCAGGTGAGCCCACACGCAGGTGTCTCTTTAGGACATCGGTCTGCCAGGGAAAACTCCCAGCGGGGAACATGGTGGGATTTTTGAGTCCCATCCCTAACATTCTCTCTCTTTTAAAAAGCACCTCATTTATTACATACGGCCATTTACTCATTAGAAATACTTCTGAAGACACGTACTGACCTGTGTGATTGCTGGTGGTGGTGATGGGGGGGGGAAGGAGTGAGATTTGGGATGATGCCTTAAAAACATGCCATCCCTAACATTCTCTCTCTTTTAAAAACACCTCATTTATTACATACAGCCATTTACTCATTAGAAATACTTCTAAAGACACATACTGACCTGTGTGATTGCTGGTGGTGGTGATGGGGGGGGGAAGGAGTGAGATTTGGGATGATGCCTTAAAAACATGACACCGTTGCTCTATATCTGGCATTTTACTTTGCTTTGTAAGATAATTCCAGCAGGGGAGGGGAGGGAAGGGACGGGGGGTGTGTGCTTTTGCTTGAAACCTGACTTTGATGCCTGGTGTTAATCCTGGAAAGAAGGCGTGGGATTGGGGCCTGCTCTGAAATGGAATTCACCTGCCCGTATGGATTGAATCTGGTTAAGGTTTTGGCATGTATCCCTCTGCCTCCTGCAATGCATCGGGGATAAAATATCTCAGCTTTTATGGAGCTATTGGAAAAACGAAGTTCAGGACCACGTAGTTTCATTATTTTATGGGCCTTGTGGATGTGTAACAATGCAGGATGCGTGCTGCGGATTGGCTGCAGTCTGTGCTAGAAGGAAATTTCACAATGGGAATGCACGTGGTGGTTTTTAGGGTGTTGGTTTTGCTCGGCCTTCAGGGTTTGTGGGTTGTCCTGTGCAGTCAGATAACTGCTCATGTGAATTGCTATAATAAATTATTATAATATTTGTCACTGGTAAGAGTACATACAGAAAGGTTTTTAAAAAAGGAGAGAAATAAAGACAAATCTAAGAGACAAAACAAATATACATTGATAGACACACACTAAGCAAAGTATAAATTACATTTTATGACCATGCGTGACACCACACACACACACACACACACACACACAGACAGACACACACACACACAGACACACACACACACACACACATATACACACACACACACCAGGCAGGACAAATATTTAAATGTTTCTTTCTTTTTCTAATTTTTTTTCTTAAACTACAACATAAACATAAAATGCACAAACCAAAATACAAATCGACTGTGTTCTCCACCCTCCTAGTCAGGACCTCTTGCAGTAATCCTCTTCTTCCTCTATCTTTCTTCTTCTTCCTCCTTCCTCTTCTCTAGAACTGCATAGATTCCTGATTTGGAGCTTTCGCTTTTCTACTCTTGTTAGCACATACAGTGAACTCACGACCTACGGAATTAATCCGTATTAGAACAGAGTCCGTAGGTCGAAAATTCCGTAGATCGAAAATGCATTCCCCATAGGAATGCATTGAAAAACATTTAATCCGTACCCAGCTCAAGAAAACGCCCCCACTGAAATTTTTTTTAAAAAGGGAACTTACGTTTCCGAAGCCTTTCAGGGGTCCCCGGCCGCCGTCATCACCACTGCTGGAGGACTCCGAGGGCTTCAGCGCTGCTGCCGGAGGCCTCTCGGACCTCCCCCGCCGACACAGGCTTTCCCAGGGTGGACCAGGCCTACCGGGGGAAGCCCTCCCCCGGTAGGCCCGGTCTACCAGGCTTCCCCGGGCAGTAGAAGGAGTCTGAGCTTTCCTGGGAGTCCGAGCATGGCCGGGATTGCCCGGCGTGGCGCAGCTCCCAGCGTCAGGGGACCTCCGGATGCCTTCCATGGCGGAAGAGAAGCCTTGGAAGGCATCCGGAGGCCTATGGATTGGAAGGGGGAGGTGGGGAAAGTGCCAAATTTGAATTTGCCGCTTTTCCCGCCTCCTCCTTCTGGTCCATAGGTCGATTCTCCGGCCGCAAGTCGAAGTGAAACTTTGTGGTCGGAGAAGTACGGATCTCGAAAAGTTTGTGAGTGGAACCGACCATAAGTCGAGACTCCACTGTATTCCTAAAATCTACCCCATATATCATAAAAATTATTCTTTTTCATCTCTCCTTTCTTAACCTTTAAGTTACCTGTTTCTTTCATAATAGATTTCACAATGGAGAAAAAAAAATGTTTGTCCAAATCTAGATACTAGTTTTTGGGCAAGCTCCCAGGTGAAATTTGGAGGAATGTGATCACTTTTACAGTTGAGAGGTCTGTCTTTTATTTTTTAAACCTTGTTTGAATAACTTTGTTGATACAGTCAGAAGTTGAGAAAGTTTGGGCAGTCCTTGTTGCTGGCTGCTCAGGACCTTTTTTTTTCTTCATCTTTGTGATGCGTGTGGCCCCTGCACAGGCCAATCTCAACCTCTCTTTGGCCATGACCTTAAACACAATATAAAAGTAATATAGGCCAAATCAAGACTGTATAAGTCACATAACGAAACTTATACGGTGGTGTGTGAAGAATTGTTTCCAGTCTGTAGCCCCCTTCAAACATGCCAGCCACCCCCACCCCCCCTGGATGGCTGTTCCACATGCACCGTAACATCTAGAAAGGAACTCTAGTTAGTGGCAATCTGTCACTGCCAGTGACATCATTCACACATTGCAGGTGGGGGGGGGGCTCTGCAAGATGGTCCTGGCCAAAAAATGACATTATCGATGAGTGAAGGCCTTTCAGGCCTGTTTCTGATCCAGGTTTTCCAGAAACTTGCAAAAATCGGAATGTCAGAGAGCGTGCCTCTTGCCAGATCTGCCCCATTCTGAGTTATCATTCCAGGATTTCTGGCTCCTGCCTTCTCCTGACGGTGTAGATTAGTCATCGGTTCCATGTTTAGGTCAATACCCAATCTGCCAGGGCCTGAGAGTGACACGCATATCCAAGTGAGACTGGAACTGCAACGCAGCATCTGCTATTACCCATGCAAAACCCTTTCTTGGCAGAGGAAAGTCAGGAGTCAGGCATCGGGAGGAAATGGCGCTTGATTCACAACCAGGACCTGGGCCTGTTTATACTCAAAAGCTTTTCCTTCTTCTCCTCCCTCCCTCTTTTAAAAAAATGTCTTAACTTGCTAGAGCAGCAGAATCAAGTTCGCTCAGAGAACTAGTTATGCAAACAAGATACATTAGCAGTTTTGCTTATTTTGCAGAATTATAGCGAGGCACACACACACAGCACCCTGAAACTCAGATATTACACAGATCAGTTGGGTTTTTTTTTTAAGTTGCTGCTTCTTCTGGCTCCTCCTTTTTTTTAAAAAAAAAGTAAAGCTGTCCCTTCCCACCGCCTCCTCTGGAGTCAAAGCTGCCCAAAAGTTGGGATCCACAGCAGCAGCTCCGTGTTGCTTGTCCTCATCACCTGAAGAAGGCAAATCAAGCTTTCTTTGTAAGCAGTGGCACCTTAATTTTGGGAAACCAGAGTCCTTCTCAAAAGAAGCCAGCCTGGCTCTGCCAGGAGCTTTCGATGGGCTTTTGGCAGCCGACAAAGACAGACTTGTTTTGTTTAGCTTTTGCTTCTGAAAAAAAATTGTCTTAAGAAAAAAAAATCTTTTCCTTTAAACAAATGTTGGCATTTAAAACACATACTTTAAAAAAACTTATTTTTATCAAACAGATCTGTTCTCGGAGGATGTTTTTAATCTTTTTTTTTTCATGTCTTATGTTCTTGTGGTTGCATGCATTGCGTCGCGTTTAAGGGCTGAGGAGAGGAATAAATTTCAAAGATCTACATTGATACCCCACTATGCCGCCAATAAAAGTCCTCGGGGTAGCTAACAACAATGATTTTAAAAAAATACAAATTAAACATAACATTAAAATAGTGAGAGCAAAACACAACATAAAAACAAACAAATGAACATTAAAATAATAAATTAAAATAAAGTGTGGATTGAGGGATAACATAAAAACCAAGAATCACACATTAAAACAACACAGCAGTAAAAAAGTGTAGCCAGCCACCCTCACCTCTGTCACCATTTTACTTGCTGAAGGACCCTTTCAGTAAAAAAAAGATGTTGGCCTGCCAGTGGGAAACCAGCAGAGAAGAAGCGAACCTCCTTCAACAGTTGCAGAGTTTGAGAGTCTGGGAATATTCCTTTCCTGGCATATTGCCCAGAAGAAGAGTTTTCTCCGAAGGCCTTACAGCCCAGGAAGGACTCTATTGGATGGAGGAGCCTTTCTGATCACCTGGTCCAATGTAGTCTATGGGGGTGTTGCAAGGCAAATGGACGTGGTGCCATCTGCAGAGGTTGTTTAGGGGGTCCCTCCTCTCTGAGTGGACTCTCTTCTCTCTCACACCAGAGAGCATTTCCTTGCCACCTCCTTCTAAGCCAGTGGTTCCTAACCTTGGGTCCCCAAATGTTCATAGAACCCTGGAGCTGGAAGGGGCCTCTAAGGCCATTGAGGGCAAACCCCCCCCCCCCCAGCTCAAGGCAGGAATCCAATCAAAGCAGATGGGACAGGCAGTTGTGTCAGGTTTCTTGGGCCTCTAAGGCCATCAAGTCCAACCCCTCTAGCTCAAGGCAGGAATCCTTCGAGCACTCACCACCTCCTGAGGTCATGGATTCAGTTGTCATAGTATCTACCCTTTCCCCCTGAAAATAAGACCTACCCTGGAAATAAGCCCTAGTAGGATTTTTCAGGAGGCTAAACATATAAGCCTTGGAAGGGGCCTCGAAGGCCACAGAGTCCAACCCCCAGGAATCCTGATCAAAGCAGATCGGACAGAG